TTTTCCAGAAATCGTCTGAAATTATCAAACGATGAAGTAAACTTTTTGAAAAACTGAAAATATTTATGCCCTCCCAAAATTTTTTTCTGAAATTTTATTTTTTTCACATAACGATGATCTACAAGTTATATAATTCACGGTATAATAAAAAGAGTTATAAAACATATAATCAATCTTTTACGTTTATATATGACAGTATAATAATACCAAAAAAATGAAAAAAAAGTAAAAATAAAATTTTCCACCTATCTAATACTGTAAGAAATTTTATAAGACTACCACACCATCATCAACTCCCAAGGACAGACCTGACTAGCGATCCACTCCTCGCTCTGTTTCGCCTTCTCCTCACCCGAGAGCTCTTTCCCATCACTATTACCATCATTCGAAGTGAGCATCTAACACATATAAATCTATAACTCCTGCAATTTCGTGGCGCGCGGTAATTCCTTCACCCCTATTACAGTGTAAATCAAACCGTTATGTGAATCATTGAATCACTGTTGGAATATAAATTCGCTTTTTTCAGCTGAGCTCAGATATTTATATGCAAATTAGGGTAAATGTGTACAGAAACCAACAAAAAAAATTTTCAAAATTTCCTCAAAATTTTCTTATTAATAGTAGAAATTTTATATCATATATTCTGAAATCTCCAAAGTTTCGCGCAGTCGTCCTTCAAATTTTTCAAAAAACTGAAAATTGCCAAAAACCGTTGCAAATTTCCAGTATACTTCCAATACTAAATAAATCCCCAATCTTCGAGCTGTATAACAAACAATATAAGTAGCATTTTCAACACCTTCCATTTTTGATAAAATTCAACTTCGAGTAATATCACCAGGATCGTTTCAGAAGCGTTCCGTAGTTTCAAGTTGGGGAAAATTTAGATATGCATAACTGCATGATTCGCACTAAATACCATCAGAAAATTTGTGTTTTCTGCTGAGCACATGCAAATTTTTCCACATTCGATGAATTTGAGGAATAAATTTAGTGAGAGAAATCGGGCTTGAATTTTTTCTGAAAAATTTTTTGGGGGAATTTTCTCATCATATGCGTCACAAGTAGGGGAATATGTATTTTTGCTTTATTCAACTTCACTCCTGAGTTCCCGCACTACACTGCTATTGGATTTTCACCCATTTTACGCGAAGTGGCGTAATACTCTGCGAAAAATTTGCGCTATGCAGTAGTCGCGAAATCTGTTTCTCATATCACGGCCGCCCGTGAAACTCTATTAAATTACCTTCTTTTTAATGTCAGCCTCAGTGAGCTCAGTTCGCTGCACTACCGCATGCAATATTTGCGTCAACACTGCCTGTGCTGTCCTCTGTGCCAATTCTGATGATTTACCCGAACGATGAACCTAACAACAACATAAAGATATCCAAAATCTTCCGAGTGCGGTACTGTTGAGATGTGTTATATTCTACTAGTAATGTTCATGCGTATGCGTTACATCAACATGATAGTTGCTAATTTCATAAATTCCACTTTTCCCCTGTATATCGGCTAATACCAATCCACCATTTTCGTCGTTAATCATAGACGACCCCTCATTGAGATCGGACGCACTATGAAGGATACTCCTATCCTTTTCCTTGAGTAGCAAGGCAGATAGTATTCAGTATGGCCGCGAACTCAGCAGCAGCTCCGAAATGAGCGGCTGAGCTCAGGTATACTCCTATTACTGTAATAGAATTCAGAGTGAAAACAGAGCGCCATGCGCTACTCCTACTACTACTACTACTACTACTACTACTACTACTACTACTACCACTACTACTACTACTACCTCAAAGCACATCTTGACTCCTTTAATAAGGTCATCACCATGCACTGTACTACCATCACTAGCAGTAACAGCCGACAGCAGTTCCCTCAACGTCGTGAGTGTATGCTCATCATCACTAACACCTGTAAAATACAATACCCTTCTATCACTACATAATGCACAAATCTATTTATCAACTTGACCATGTGAAACAGTCCATGAAAAAAACACAATTCTGGAAAATTTTTTCACAGAATTTCTTTTGCTCTTTTTTACGAAATTTCCGGGGAAAAAACCAAAAATATTCCAACACTACAAACTGAAGGTTTTCGTGACGAATTCCTAATTCGCGGCTTCCCAAAATTTCCTAATTGCACTGTGAGAAAATATGCAACAATAAAATTCTGAGAAATTCCCATCAGTTTTCCCATAATTTGAAGTGAAACATATATTCCAACACAGTTCGCCCCGTGCTTTACTTGCTATAAATCACTTCGAACTGCATGAACCTATATTTTCAAATTTTCTCTACACGACGACTAGGAACACATTCTTCAATCAGTTTCCGATGAGAATATCATTTTCGCCGATGTTATCAAACCCTAAGGGAACGTTTTAGTTGAATTAGCTTTCGCCTCCAACACCAATAAAACGTCTTTGCTATTATTACTATTACCTCCAGTCCAACTCGAAATTCGCTCAATAATGTTCGCCATGATAACAATGACAAACAGAAACTATGATGAAAAGCAGTAGCGAATGTAAACACTTTAAACCCAACAACAATAACAGCGTTGAAATGAGGGGAGACAATATAACGTTTATACCATAAAGTGCTCTTCTCGAAAACCAGTCGAAAACAGCATATCACTAATCACACATAATTATATTATGATAGGAAGGGGGAGCCGCTTGATTTCGACGAGTCCAGACAGGCTGAACAGTGTGCCAGAATATACACATGGACAACAACTACGCGTGTTGATGACAAGGAAATTCGCTTAGGTTTTTGTAGAAAATACTTATTTCCTACAATAATGGAAAACACTAATGGAAAATATATTTCACGACTACTGCATATCACCGCGTTTCTCACCGAGTTTTACGACGTCACTTAACTTTGTAAAACTGGTTGTGAAACTCCAATGTCTCTTATAAGTAAAATCACAACTATGTCATATTTCTTTACTCAATGAGGACTTCATACAACTATTAATGGAACTAAGCAGTGTGCGAGAATATACATATGGTCATCAACTACGCGTGTTGATGACAATAAGAAAATTCGGAAATTCTCAATTTCTAATATAAACCTGAATCAGAAATCAACAAGAAAAAATTCCCATTTCTTTGAAAAATTCATCGGAAATCATCTGAATTTAAGAAAAAAAATCGCAAAATTTCTATCGATTTTCGCACTATTTTGCTCCCAAAGTCGCGTGCAAATTATGATAACGTAAACTCCTGATCGTCATCGATTGATCTAGACCTCAATATTTCCATGCTACATCAACATAATCGTGCGTAAAAAATTCCGGATCCTCATAATCGTCCGCCTTTGCTCCATTACATCATCAGCACAACCAAGACCTCAATCATTCTACTTGTTGATGGTCAACGTTTCACTTGTGACTCGTATAATCTACCGTAATGTCAAACGTGTATAATTCTGTTTCCACAAAAAAAGAAATCACTCTACTTCGTTATTCGCATTTCGCCTTGCATTTCTTGCATTAATGTCAAATCTGCGTAACAGGTGTCCATTTGTTGTTTCACAGGAGCCGTTCAATAAACCGACCTTGGAACTCATAATCGTTTCCAGAATTGCTTATCACACGTGCAATACGATGCTAGAATCGATTTTGACGTCCAGAATTGATTCAATGAACACCGAGACTGGTTAAGTACTTGTATAATCTACCAGACTCTGTGTACAATAACACGTGTAGAGCAGTGTGTGTGTGGGGGGGGGGAACATGCACACGGTCAACTACGTGTGTTGGTCACAATATGAAAACTCTGAGAAAATTTCAGGAAATTATTGTTGGTTTTTGTACACTTCTATTGAGAAGGACTACCCAAAATTTTCCCGGGGTTTTCATATTATCATCGACAATGTGTGTTGGTACCGCGTGAGAATATATGCCTGGTTTCCTCAGCTGAACTCAAGAGTTTCCTCACTTATTATAGGGGTTTATACACGATTTCGGGTTGAAGTGTACAAAAACCAATAACAATTTCCCAATTAAATTTCATCACCAATCTCATAATATATGTAGTTGACCATGTTCATACTCTGCCACACTGCTTGGTACGAACAGTGATGGATAAGTAGCTTTTCAGAAAAATTAATTATGTGTGTATTGCGGTTTGGGTTTACTGCATCGGAACGATCCCTCCATTGCACAAACATGACATCGATCGCTCTGCTAGCACGCATAGGTCCAGCGGCCAATGCTCAGTATACGTGTCCCCGTCGCGGGATTATCGGTTTGTGATGTTGATAATAGCTCCATTGTTATTAGTATCACTATCATCTCCTAATGACCAACTCTGTAGATAACCACACTCTTGAGTTAGCACTGGGAAGACTAGACCTCGAGCCAAGTGACACCGCAGTCTCAGTTTAAAGTTAAGCGCCGTGTTGGTTGAACCTTCCCAGCACTGAGGAACGCGATACGGAGGGGAGAGTGGAGATTAGAACAAAACGAACTTGAGCCAGATGGCTACGGCTCAACACGGACTCATGCGTGCACACTATCATTAACTCGTTATTAATTGCTTATATACCACGCTACAAGAGTCCCAAAGATCATCAAAACCAAACCAAATATCTGTCATCACCACTGGTTGACCAACCGTTTCTGATTCAATGGGCGATCGCTAACTTCCAGATCCGACCGAGCCCGGGATCTGGACACGCCCCCCTGGAGAGGTCGTCGAATCTTCACCACTCCACACTTCGTCATCCAGGTAAAGCCACTCTAGAGCGGATACACCCGGATCAGCCTGATCCCAAACAACCAGAACCCTGGACTTACCTTCAGCCGATCCACCGCGGTGATGAACCACAGAACACCCGTGGAACTGTTTATCGCCATCCTCGTGGGTGAGTAAGAATCTCAATCTCCGACCGACAAAAGTGGGACCGTGCTCCAACTCGGCGTCCACGCCACCGGCTAGTCCACGAATACGAAGTGGCAATAGGTTGAAGTGGTTTTCAGTGGTGATTCTTTCCAGCCGCCGATTCCCATTATCCGCATAGAGGATCTTATATCGCCGCGAGCTCAACCTTTCGACTACCCAACCGCATCGCCAGGCAGGGAATCCTTTCGATTTCGGCCCGTAAATCAGTACTGCATCACCGCATTGAAAACCGGCTCCCGACTTGGCAAAACGAGTACCGATGTTCTCTCGTCTTTGTAAAGGCCAGTAAAGGGACAAAAATGTCCTGACAAAACTCTCCCGACGAGCACCCAGTTGAGACGAATCGAATACGGCACCACTACAGTTTTTACCTTCCCTTAGATAGCCATATCGCAAATGGTCTGGCGTGAGGATTAAGAGCTCACCCTGGGATGACAGGTCCGCTCGACCGAGTGGTCTGTGATTGAGATGCCAGACCAACTCGTCCGCCAATGATTGTTTCGCCATGAGAGACCAACTCTTCGTCCCACGAAAACGACGAGACAGTAGTACCCGACCCACTCGCAGTGCGAAACGATGGTGAGTCTCCACCCCGCTGCACCAAGGGGCACGAGCATCAATTGGGATAGTCTCCGATCCGACCTCCCGTCGCACTTCCTCGCGAAACACCCGAGTGAGTACTGCACCATCGGCGATGATGTAGTTGAAGCCTCCTTCTCGGAGGTGTGCTCGTCTCACGGCAGCTGCTAATTCCACTGCCTCCCTACTACCCAAAGCCATCCAGCAGGCATGTCGAGTCTGAAGACAGTAGCACGAAAGATACAGCAGAGGAGGATCAGTCGAGAGTTTTATGACATCCACCGCCGTCACATAATACGGTGGTCTCTTCTTCTCCAACAGGCTCTCGTAGGAGAGTTCCGAGTCCACTGCGCTCGGACCTGCCACCCCCAAGGGCTGATCCCTTCTCCTCTTAGCCGAAAGTCGTTGGCATAGAATGCACGTTTTGACAACTTTTGTTGTCCAAAAAAACGACCAGACGAGGCCATGTCAATTCCTTGCGTCAACAACACGAGAGACGCGACTGCGGAGCCAAGATATGGCTATGGTCTTGGAACCTAGCAGGGCTAAAAGTCTAATGTTCACACTCAAGTTCGCAAGCACTAGGAGAATGTTTGCACGCATGTACAAAAAGGGTGTCACAGAGACTGACCAGGGCCCACTCTAAATTTGATTTCCTTCAGCAGTAATAATTACAGCGATTTTCCCCTCACTTTATTCAACGAAATCTACGCACAAAAAGCAACAGATTATTGCAACTTTATTCAACAAAAAGCACGAGATTTGCATTGAATCGCGACGGCTTCAGGATGGAAGTCTCCAACACAATTCAACATCATCTATATATTCCCTAGTGTCAAGTGAAATTGTTTATATGGAGCTCTCTGTGAGGAGCTTTATACGAAGGTGTTGAAGATTCATAATAGTTCCTCATAAGAGCACAAAAGGCTCCGCGTCTTATCCCTATCAGGGGCTGTTCATGCGCTATCGTGCACGTTTGTTCATGCGTGCATACTTTCATGCGTTCCCGCGGCAGCATAAGTGTCCAGCAACTAACGAGGATTCACAGAATTTACCCATCTCAATGCGGCTTCAAATATCCTGGTTTCACGTATAATCAAGTTTTTCCATGTTCATTCTCCTCCACCTTCTCCTAATCGTCAGTTCGGCTCTCGCCGATGCCTCCAATGATGGCACTTGTACTGCCCCGTCCTCAGACCAGACTCACACCGACTCTCCGTCTGGTCCTCATCTTATCGGAAAGTATCCTTCGCAGTGTTCGAGCCCTGGAGATCCGCTCAACGGGAAGTACTGTTGGTTCATCATCAACGACACTAATCAAGTCACTGGCAGTGCTTCTATTGGTTCCAACTTTTCGTCCACTGATAGTTTTGCTCAACTGCAGTTCGCGGTCCATCTGAGGGATGAAACCCCTGTTGATGTCGGTGTTCGGGTAGAGGGCAACTCTTCCATGCTCTTCGATTTGCCCTTGGGAATCAAGATTGAAACTCATTTTTCGATTCCAAAATACCAAGACACCGGTGGTGAGGATGGTGTTGGCGGTAAAAAGATCACTTTCCCTACACAACTACGCACACGTGTAAAAGTTCCTTGGAAGAAAAAAAAGGTTGAAGGGCATGCTGTTGACCGTGGCATCGCTTTCGTGAACACGACTGGTGGAACTTATCACTACCTGGTCACAGAGCCCAGGGTGACTGTTAAGACCAAATCTGTCAATTCGAGCATCTCGTATCATCTTGCCATCGCTACGAATGTCCTCTCTAAACGTTGGACTTATGATGCCTATGTTGATTACAAGATTGAGGGAGATTCGAAAGGTCTTCGTCTCAAGTCGTCGAACAGAATTTGGATATTCCAAGGGGGGATTGACATCGAGTAACTATCTTTACTGCTATAATTATCCTCTGGCTGAATCGGTCAATCTGATACGAGTCGTTCAATCGTTCGAGGTATTGCTCTATCATCCCCTTGCTCAGTATCCAACTCGTAAGCATTTGGCCGTTTTTATTCTAAGAATTGACAATCTTCAAGTCGGGAACTGAGTCCAGCTCAAGGTTTGGATTAAATTGCCTCTATCCGGTTCCATGACCACCAAAGGTGGTGCTTCTTGAGGCGCCAAGAAGAGAAGAGGGAGCTCCTACGCGTATCATAATCTATATGTCGGCCGAGGTTTCAATGATATTTCTCTCTTGTTGAGTTGCGTAACCAACTGGGGCGTTTACAGCATTTCCAGGTCAAATTAATTTTTTACCGACAAATTTAATTTTTTACCCATTTGGTTAATGTTTTACCTTTTGAATTAACGTTTTACCCATGGCTTTAATAAAATACCAAGAAAATTAATATTATACCCGGTTTATTTGAAAGTTTAGGAGTTTAATTTAATCAAGGCGTGACTCAGTAGAATCAACCGCCCAGGATGGGGCAACTATGCCACCCCAAGATATGCCTCAGTAAGGTTGAATTCTGAGGACGGGGCAACTATGCCACCCCAAAATATGACTCAGTAGAATCAACCGCCCAGGATGGGGCAACTATGCCACCCCAAGATATGCCTCAGTAAGGTTGAATTCTAAGGACGGGGCAACTATGCCACCCCAAAATATGACTCAGTAGAATCAACCGCCCAGGATGGGGCAACTATGCCACCCCAAGATATGCCTCAGTAAGGTTGAATTCTGAGGACGGGGCAACTATGCCACCCCAAAATATGACTCAGTAGAATCAACCGCCCAGGATGGGGCAACTATGCCACCCCAAGATATGCCTCAGTAAGGTTGAATTCTAAGGACGGGGCAACTATGCCACCCCAAAATATGACTCAGTAGAATCAACCGCCCAGGATGGGGCAACTATGCCACCCCAAGATATGCCTCAGTAAGGTTGAATTCTAAGGACGGGGTAACTATGCCACCCCAAAATATGACTCAGTAGAATCAACCGCCCAGGATGGGGCAACTATGCCACCCCAAGATATGCCTCCGTAAGGTTGAATTCTAAGGACGGGGCAACTATGCCACCCTAAAATATGACTCAGTAGGATCAATGTCCTCCAGAGAAATTGGCTTGATAATCATATTAATTACCACCTCCTTGAAAAACAAGGGATACGAAAACACGTTCTCTGAGAACGTGTTTTCGGACTAGAATAGTTCCTAGTGAGAACGGTTCTCACTAGAAACTTTTCTGGAAATGCCCATCTCATTGAATCTGCCGTTACGTCGAGGTATTTCAGTGATTTCGTTTCACGGCGGGAGTGAAATGGCATGACATAGCTGACGAGCCTCTCCCAGGATTAAGATTGGTGACAGCTGAATCTTGATGCAAAAGACGCGTTGTAGAAAAAAGTTATTCGACGCACAAACTTGAGGCATGGCAGGCTCTTCCATCAAGGTTCCTAGCGAAGACACGTCCTCGTGATACTCAGTTCATATTAATTGCTGTAATAACCGCTCCCCAATCTGGGATTCAAAAACACCGAATTAGTAATCCGTGAGCGAGTGGAAGGATCGACAAATTCCATGGTGGAGATCGCGGGTTCATCCCGGGGAGCAGGAACCTGACAAAGTTAGCCACAGAAGAACAGTACTGTGCGGACCGCATACTCTGGCACAATTTTTGCGCGGCACACGATTCTGGACAATCCATTGACGGTAACGATTTTGTGTATTTTAATCGGATGTTGCAGCTTGTGGATGGGAAATCTGTTGCGTATGATATTTTATACTGATTAATACCAAGTGTAGAAAGCACGAGCAGCTCGAATAGAGTTGTCGCATTTGCTTAAGAGTATTAATAATAGGGCGAGTGCGAGAGTCTTAGGCATAGCTTACGTGTGCATGCGCCAAACGGTCGGTTGCATTTGGAGTCTTTCGTGGGATTCTCTTGAGAATCATTGTTGACACCCCTGCCAACTTAGTCGACCGCAACTGAGTATTATCGTATACCCATTTGGTATTACCCATATCTACCTTTGGGATTATGCTGCTAGAGTCACTAGCATCGACAGCCAATAGTATCTATCGACGACCCGATCACGACTACGAATAGATCCGTTCGCATAGCAGTATTGTGAGATTCGAGTCAAATCACAAGGATCTACGGTTTATGACATTTCTTCATGTTGATGGGTCATCCTCATTTCATTTCAAGTCAGAAATTTGTCGGGATTGCTGCTCATTCATGGTATGTCGCTTCTCAGAAGTCTTGGTGTATTTGATAATGAGATTCTTCTACGTGCTGTACTTCATCATCGCCCTCGGCCACATCACGGCTGAGGAATCGGTGAGCGACCCCTCTACATATATCAGGGGTCTCGGTGGTAACGCATGCGCCAAGTGTAAAGCGCCTTGCAAGAAATGCAACCGTGCAAATGAGTGTTTGTGCCCCAAGGACACGGCCTCCGTTGACAGTTAATGGTATGAACTCGCTTGTTTGGGATGGTGGATACATCATCCATGGTTCCATCTTCTTTATTCTTCATTGGTATTGCATGCAGGTCTTGCTATGTATTGTATCGTACTTGATATACTGTACTTTTGAGCGCGAGATACACCAACGAGTTATTTTCTTTGTTAGCGAGTTGCATCAATCTGATACCATGAATGCGAGTGTTTACCATTCTCGATCGTTTCTTGTTGACGAGTCAGTCTGTTGTACGAGTCCCTCGTGATATGCATTCAATTGTATCAGTTATAATGCATTTGTTTAAGTCAACTGCTTAGTCTTTCGTAACTAGATTCCATGTCTGCGTCTTCTTATTACGATATCATTCATGCCCACCTTCAAGTCGGGAACTGACTCCAGCTTGAGGTTTCGAACACATTGCCTCCATCCGATTCTATGACCACCAAAGGAAATGGTCTTATGATATTTTATATGTCTAGAATAAATCATAAGTGCTAAAGTGATCCGCCTTTGAACATGATAAGATAATAGTAGTGGAAACAATTGAATAGTCGAAAGGGCTTCCTCACTAGATGGCTGTGCCCTTTGTAGACTCAAATATCGCTCACCCCTTTCAATGATATTCCACTCGCGTTGAGTTGCGTTTAATTTGGACAATATGATGGAAAGCACGGGCCATGTTTCGTGAACTAGATAAGATATCACGTGTATGATCGATCTTCGACTTCACAAGACTTGGTCCGCACTCGAAGCCTGCCACCTTGTCGGAACATAGATGGCTTCAAGATGGAGGATGACAAGTTCAACCCAACACTCTTTTTCGATGGGACATCTCAAGTTCATGACGGCTCACAGAATGAGTCAGGAGTTTCTCCCTCGACCGATTGGTCCTTTCCTTTCTAACGAGCAATACATGGTTCACAGCCACGCTCATCTACTCAAAGGCGCCCGATGGACGCCCTCTGCTGATGGGAAGGTCTTGAATATACCTCCTCCCGCCTTGGCCGCAGCTTATGTGCCTCGGTCAATGAGTCCCAATTGAGCCCGGTCTCACCGCAGTTACTCGTGATTGAAGTGTTGAGTGAATAATCTCGTTAGGGAGGCAGAATTTATCTGCGCGGATTGTAGGCCTGAGTAAGATCAATTCGATAGGATGGGGCAACTATGCCACCCAAGATATGCCTTAGTAAGATCAAGTTAATAGGATGGGGCAACTATGCCACCCAAGATATGCCTTAGTAAGATCAAGTTAATAGGATGGGGCAACTACGTCACCCCCAGATATGCCTCAATAAGATCAACTTCCGAGGATGGGGCAACTATGCCACCCCAAAATATGACTCAGTAGGATTAACCGCCCAGGATGTGGCAACACTGCCACTCCAAAATATGACTCAGTAGAATCAACCGCCCAGGATGGGGCAACTATGCCACCCCAAGATATGCCTCAGTAAGGTTGAATTCTAAGGACGGGGCAACTATGCCACCTCAAGATATGTCTCAGTAAGGTTGAATTCTAAGGACGGGGCAACTATGCCACCCCAAAATATGACTCAGTAGGATTAACCGCCCAGGATGTGGCAACACTGCCACTCCAAAATATGACTCAGTAGAATCAACCGCCCAGGATGGGGCAACTATGCCACCCCAAGATATGCCTCAGTAAGGTTGAATTCTAAGGACGGGGCAACTATGCCACCCCAAAATATGACTCAGTAGAATCAACCGCCCAGGATGGGGCAACTATGCCACCCCAAGATATGCCTCAGTAAGGTTGAATTCTAAGGACGGGGCAACTATGCCACCCTAAAGTATGACTCAGTAGGATCAATGTCCTCCAGAGAAATTGGCTTGATAATCATATTACTTATCACCTCCTTGAGAAACAAAGGATACGGAACTTTTCTGGAAATGCCCATCTGATTGAATCTGCCGTTACGTCGAGGTATTTCAGTGATTTCGTTTCACGGCGGGAGTGAAATGGCATGACATAGCTGACGAGCCTCTCCCAGGATTAAGATTGGTGACAGTTGAATCTTGATGCAAAAGACGCGTTGTAGAAAAAAGTTATTCGACGCACAAGTTTGAGGCATGGCAGGCTCTTCCATCAAGGTTCCTAGCGAAGACATGTCCTCGTGATACTCAGTTCATATCAATTGCTGTAATAACCGCTCCCCAACCTGGGATTCAAAAACACCGAATTAGTAATCCGTGAGCGAGTGGAAGGATCGACAAATTCCATGGTGGAGATCGCGGGTCCATCCCGGGGAACAGGAACCTGACAAAGTTAGCCACAGAAGAACAGTACTGTGCGGACCGCATACTATGGCACAATTTTTGCGCGGCACACGATTCTGGACAATCCATTGACGGTAACGATTTTGTGTATTTTATTCGGATGTTGCAGCTTGTGGATGGGAAATCTGTTGCGTATGATATTTTATACTGATTAATACCAAGTGTAGAAAGCACGAGCAGCTCGAATAGAGTTGTCGCATTTGCTTAAGAGTGTTAATAATAGGGCGAGTGCGAGAGTCTTAGGCATAGCTTACGTGTGCATGCGCCAAACGGTCGGTTGCATTTGGAGTCTTTCGTGGGATTCTCTTGAGAATCAAGGTTGACACCTCTGCCAACTTAGTCGACCGCAACTGAGTATTATCGTATACCCATTTGGTATTACCCATATCTACCTTTGGGATTATGTTGCTAGAGTCACTAGCATCGACAGCCAATAGTATCTATCGA